TTGGTTTTTTATATGGAAATAAAGTTGCAGGATTATTGTGGGTTCACCTCCCTGTTAACAGGTGCGGTTTCCTTGCTCTCTGATTCCACCTGGCCCAGGTTCTGCGCTCTGGGCACAGGGCAGGAGATCCAGGTCTGGTTCCTTCTTCCAGTAACCTTTTCCACAGCTTCTGAGGGAGCTGAGCAGATGTTCCCAGCATAGTGGGGGAAGGCTGATCCCTGAGCACACAGCAGGTGCAGAAGGAGCTGGCACCTGTTAAACAGGAACTTGGAAATGATCTCATCGAGTTTGCAACAGATGAGTCTGTCCTAGTTAAGGCTGAATTCCCGGGGGTTTACACTGTGGTTTGGCAGTGGGAACCAGCCCTGCATTTGAATCTGAGCTGCTGAGCAGCAAATTCCTGGTGTTCCAGGCAGTTGGTGTCCCAGGATTGTTCCTGGAGGACGCGAGTGCCGTCTGTGCTGCTGCGCTTCCCGGCGTGCTGCTCTGGTGAAACCAGGACAGCCTTTTCCAGGGCATTTGGGATTCTCCTGGCAAATGAAATCGGGACAGTTCCTCCTGGGAGGATTTTGGGTTGGTAGAGCGCAAGTTTTTCCTTCAGCTGCTTGTGCCATGTGGCAAGAGCCACCTCCCAGGGCTCATCCTGCGAGGGGAAGGGCTGCGTGGGTGGATCTGCTGGCGCAGGCTCTGGAGATTCCTGCTTTGGTGGGGATTAGATTAAACCTCCTTTTTGTGTTCCTCAGCACTGAGTTATTTCTGTCACGCTCTGGGGGGTGTGATGGAGTGTGGGGTGGCTTGGGAGCTTGTACCGAAGGGAATATGTGGGGAAGAGCTGGGAATTTGGCATTGAGCAGAGCTGGGCATCAGGTTTGGAATGCTGGGCACTGCATTTGTGTTGCTGGGTCTGTGCAGCACCAGCTGAGCCTCTTCTCCAGCCCAGACTTGTTTGCCATCCGTGCTGACTCGACCCGTGAATGTGGGCTCAGCCCAGGGCTGGAGCACAAGGCCATGAGGTCGTGACATGGAATCGTGTTCTCCCAGCCTGGATGGACGGGATGTGAGCCCCACTCACCGCCGGTGCGCTGAGCATGGTTTTTGACAGACAGCACGGAGATGTTGAGTCATCTCCCCAGGCCAGGCCAGGATCAACAGGGCCACACTGGGAATGAGGGGTGGGATTATCTGCTCCGGCTCCTGAGTGCAGTCAGATGTCCATACTGTTAGAAATGGATTAAATATCCTTAATCGGTTTAATATGAACTTTGTTATCCCCACAGATACATGTTATTCCTCTTCCACAATAGCTGTAGTCTGCCTGTTCTCTTCAAGAGCCTGCTCAGGATGGGCTGCGCTGAGCCATGGCCGAGCAGGGGCTCCCAGGCCTTCCCAGGAGAACAAGGTCTGTCATACTTGTCCATGCTGTGACTGGGGTGGGAAGTGGAAGGAGGAAGCACACCCTGATCCTGCCGGCAGTGAGGAGCAGGTGAGTTTGCTTCCTTGGAGAGGTGGGGGCTGTCAATGGGGACACAGGGTTTTATTCAGGCATCCTTGCCATGGTTTGCTCTCCAAGGAGGGAGCCGGTGTCTGTTGTACCTCTGCTGTTTGAGGGTCTCCAGGCAGGATCGCACAGTTCCTGGCACCAGCACCATCTCCTGCTCCTCCTGCTCTGGGCCCTGCAGAAGGGACAAACAATTTGGAATCGCTCTCCAGTCCCAGCCAGGCAGGACTCGCTGAGAAAGTTGTTGTGGTCTCAGGTTTCAGGCTGCTGTCAGTGCCGGGCGGTTTGGGGATGGGAATGGCACTTCACTCCATCTGCCCTCCGCTAATCCCCAGACAAACGCGGCTCTTCCATCTGTGCAGCCGGAGCCGCCGAGCCCATCACACCAGCCACTTAATCTAAATGGCTTTGGCCAAAGATAAGGTCATTAATTACACTGGGATTAGAAAACAGTCCAGGCCCAGCGTGGCTTGGCTCGCCATCAATTAAAGTCCTCAGTGCCCTGGCCTGGCTGAGCATCAAGCGGAGAGCTCGAGCTGGAGGAGCTCTGTGTCCTTGCTGACAGGGCACTGCCTGTCCTTGGAGGAGCCCCCTCACCTGGGCACTGGTATTTTGGCACAGCACTGGGGTGGGCTCCTGTCCCTGGTCACTGGCAGGGCTGTGTGCGAGGCAGAGCTGCAGATGCAGGTCCAAGGAGCGTGAGCACCGTGGCAGCCAGTTCAGCACAAATCCTTGTGTCCAGCAGTGAGAGGTACGTGAGCAGCACCTCCCCATCTGCATCCCCATCGCTGGCTGCCTCCAGCCTCCACCAGCCCCTGCCAGGCCACCACACTGAGCTTGGCCCTGACTCACTGCCCGCACGGGTGGCCAAGCCCCGATGCCCTTGCTCATGGCCACTGTCCCCAGAGCTCAGAGCCCAAAGTCTGTCTGTGACTTGTGCTTCCTTCTGCTCCTCCACCTTTCGGTTCCCTTTTCTTACCAGATTTTGGGTATAAAATGCTCCGATCTGCTCATCCCACAGGAAATGGCTCATCCATGCAATGCTGCCCTTTGCTGGGGTGGGATGTGCCACTTGCTCTGCCCTGCCAGGTGCCACGCTGGGGAACAGTCAGGGCTGGGACATGTCACAAGTTTGGCCTCATCCCCTCCCCTCACAAGCAAGAGGCATCGTGAGGGAGGTGGGGGGACATTACGGGCTCTGTGCCAGGAGCCAACTGGCACTGGGGCACGGGGGCACAGCTGCCACCTCGCCCGGCACCGGTGACCAGCTGGTGTCTGTGCCCCTGTTCACTGGTGGGTTTAAAGCACCCGGCTGTCCCTTAACTCCCGTTGGAGGTCCCGGCTGGTGACACTGCCCTGGCTCTTCCCACCCCAGTTCCCACACTGCAGGGACAGTCCTGCACCGGTACCTCGGACGGGCTGGGGACCATCTGTGGGACGGTGTCACCTGGGGCCATCGGCTCCTGCAGACACACGGCAGCTGCAGCACCGAACTGAGCCGTGTCCTGGGCTCGTCTTCGGTTCCCAGGTGGGATCGTCGTGTCCTGGAGCACCGGGGGGATTTAACGGAGACCTGGGTGGTGGGGGTGGTGGGAGGGAGCCCTCAGGATCCATCTGGGCTCAGCAGGGCTGAGTGGCACCGCTGGCACCGCTGCTGTCACAGGGCTGGTGGGTGAAGGAAACTAAAGGGGACCCCGAGTCATGGCTGGGGCATGGAGCTGCTGGGAGAGCTGGGAGCAGGGCAGGGCGTGGGGGATGCTGTGGCCCATCCGGTGCCTCAGCAGCGTTTCAGGTGGCTGTGGTGAAGCCGTGTCGCAAGAACCTAAAAATAAATGGAGCTGTTGGCCGGGGTTGTGCAACAGCGTGTGCCCCATCCCGCGCCGCGCGGGACCGGGGTGGATTTGGCGGCAAAGCCCGGGTGTGCACGGCGGGATCCTGGCATCGGGCCCAGGAAATGCTGGTATCCGAAGGGCTGGGGGCTGTGCCCCCTCTTTGTCCCATTCTTGTGGTGCTGCCCTGTGCCCGGGGGTGCCCGTGCAGGTTTAGGGACATGTGGGCTGAGCTGGGCTGTGGGGGCAGGTGGTTGGGATTGGTGTTCACATCTTGGCACCCTGAGGAATTCAGTGGGGGAGTCCAGAGTTCAGGGGGCTGTGGGGACCCTGCCCACGTGCCCTCCAGCACGTGCTGGACGCAGTGGTTGTCACCCATTGCCCAGGTGGGGAAACTGAGGCACGGGAGTGCTGCCAGTGCTGTGACACCTTGCAGGAGGCTCTGGGGTCCTGGTGGCACCTGTGGGGTGCCCGTAGTCCCCTGGCAGTGGGGGGGCTGTGTGGGGCAGTGAGGGGGGGTCAGCAGTGCTGGGAGCAGCCTGTGTGCCAGGCGGGAAAGGCGGGAAAGGTGGCGGGAAGGAGAGCACTGGCAGGACACCAAATCCCAGGGGACTTGGCCCTGTGCCCCGGGAGCGTGGCTGTGCTGAGGTGAGTCCTGGGGTGTCCCCATGGGGGGTGTCACAGCCCCCGCCAAGGGCTGACCCGGGGTCCAGCACTGCAGGGGCCCCGCCGGGGTCTCCCCCAGCTCGGGGGGCTGCGGGTGGGGGTGTCAGGCCGAGTGGGGCCCCCACCGTGTAGCTGGTGTGAGTGGGGCCAGCGTGGCCGCGTTGTCACGGTGTCACAGGGCCATCTGCCGGCAAAGGCACCGGCCCCGTGGCAGCCAGCCATGGCCTCCAGCAGCATCCCAGTCCTCCCAGTCGGCAGCTGCTGGGGCACTGGGGAAGGAGGGGGCCCTGGATGGGCTGGCTTGGGGGCAGCAGTGGGGGCAGCCCCACCATGGGGGGCACCCTGGGGGCCACCCTGGGCTGTTTACCCTCGGGGAGCTCCTGATCACCGGCAGTATCACAGTAGGGTTGAGACTTGGGAAGTGGGATTTGTCCCACAGGGATGGGTCCCCACAGAATCATGGATGGGGGACATGCTCCCTGGGGAGGGTTCAGTCAGGGGGTCTCATGGATGGGACTCATGAGGGCTGGACGGTGGGTGCCTCCCAGGATGAGGACATGGCAGAGACAGCCCCGCTCTGGCCTCGAACAGATTAAATGTCATTTTATTTCACACCCAAAAAAAAAATGTAGAAAAGAAGAGGTGAGTGTGGATTTAATTGCTCATATTAAAAATCTACCAGGTGAGACTGAGCCATTTCCTCCAAAGTCAGTGCAGATCCACAGGGATGCTTATTCCTCCTCCTTCTCCTCTTCCTCCTCCTCCTCCTCCTCCAGCAAATGCTCAGGGACCAGGATGGGGACAGGGGCGACACCTGCCCCCTCCCCAAGGTGTCCCCATGCCATGGGCACTCACTGCCACCGGCCCCATTGGCACATCCCTGCCCGGGCCCATCCTGCCCGGCCCCGACGCCCCCAGCACGGTGTCCCCACAGTGCCACCCGCACCACGTGTCCAGGAGCGGGTGCTAATCTGGGGGGTGGGAAGGGGGGCAGGAGCGCCTGGGGGGGGTGGCCTCGGGCCATTTTGATGTTCTGTTAGTATTCCTGTGTATTCCTTATTGTCCCTTTTCCCTCTGTACAAAATGAGCGGTATGGTCATGGGCGTCGGTGACACGGTGACGTTGTGGCTGCGGTGGCCGCCCCGCGCTCACTGCAGCAGGGCCCGGATCTGTTTGGACGTGGTGTCATCGTTGAGGTGCCGAGTGGTGTACCTGGACAGAGAGGGAATGGTCACCCTGTGGCCACCCTGACCTGCTCTGCTGTCACCCCACACCCCCCTCCGTGGCCCCTGGCTCACCTCAGAGCATTCAGGAGCCCCTCGGTGCTGGTTGAGGGTTGGTCTTTCAAGACTTTGATGCAGCCTTTCATCTGGTGGGGGGGAGTGAGAGGGGCTGTGAGATCCCTGATGTGTCACAGGGGGGGCTGTCCCCCTTCCTCTCCATCCTCCCCCTTGCTGCTCAGGGGGATGAGTTCCCCTCGGGAGCAGCTCAGTCACATCCCCATAGGGATCATCCGGGGGGAGCATCACAGCTACACTGGGATGAGCAGGATGGGTGTGACCCTCGCCCCCCCATGCATCCCATGGCCACTCACATCGATCTTGGAGGTCTTGGCAAAGGCCCCCACGGGGTGGACGTGGTCGTAGAGGATGATGACGCCGACCATCACCCGCATGCAGAACAGGAGGGTCTCGGTGTTGGTGAAGCGGCTCCGGTATTCCCTGTGCCGGGAGAGGGGCCGGCTGAGCCTGGGGGGCTGGCAGAGGGATCCTGGCACTGAGATGTCCCCCCAACCCATATGGGGTACTCACGGGGTCTCCAGCATCACCCTGCAGACACAGGCCATGGTGCTCAGGCAGTCAGTCGTGTCCTCGATTGGGAGGGTCTTGTTCTGAAACCCAACATGTCCTGACTGCTGTTTCCACCCCCAGTCACCCACATGGTGCTGGGGCTGTAAGGAGCCTTCACCCCACCCTGAGGGTCCCCCCAGCATCCCTCACCTCTGAAACGAACTTGGTGGTGGCATTGCTGAGTGTTTTGAGCATGGGGGTGGCCTCAGCATAGAAGAGGGACATCCTGTTGGCCATCTCGTTGTTCACCTCGCTCTCTGCATCCAGCTGGGGAGGGGTGTGATGGGGGGCCATTAAGGTGGTTAATCACCCCCGAGTCACCCTCAGCCCTGTGAACCCCTGGGGGATGCCAGCCTTGGTCAGGGTGGGGGACAGCACCATCCTTTCACCTGCAGGTTGTTGATGCGATTCCGGCTGATGGTCCGTCTGTAGTAGCTGAAGTCGTTCTGGATGGCAGGGTTGGTCATCTGGGTGGGAAACCTGAGTTAGGGGCTACAGCAAACCTGGGGGGTCCCAAAGGGACCCTGCTGGCTCACAACTTTTGCACGGTCCCAGTGTGGGGACCCCCAGTTCTTGTCCTGCACAGGGAGGTACCTTGAGCTCATCGAAGCTGAGGGTGAAGTGAAGGATCTCAGCAAACTGCTTGGCCAGGGCTTGCTCCCGCTCGAGGTGCTGGGTCGGGGCGTACGGGGGGCTGGTGAGGGCCTCCAGAAGGCTCCGCAGGGCATTCTCTGGGGACGAAGCACCTCTGGTCCCCTCCTGCCCCTCTGCATTTCCCCACCCCCCCGATGGGGAAACTGAGGCAGAAGGCAGCACAGCACCCAGAGCTGAGCACACTCCATGGCCGGGACTCCTGCAGCCCATCCCATTTCTGCATCCGGGCTGGGATGTGGGATGCAAGGAGGGGATGCAGGGAAGGGGGAGGTGGGGGTCAGGCACTCACCCAGCCGCAGGGAGAACTCATAGAAGCGTTTCAGCTTAGCAACGAGGGGGCAGACGGCGCTCCAGGCCCGCTCCTGCAGCCGCAGGTCCCCGGGGTTTTGGATGGCCTGGGGAAGGAGAGCGCCAGCGGTCGCCCCAAGCTGTGGTGGGTGGGTGGGTGGGTGGGCAGTGGGCGCTGGCACTACACCCGGGGGGGGGGGGTGGGCAGTGGGCGCTGGCACTACACCCACCTCTCGGATCTCCTGCCCGGCACCCGTGTAGGACTGCAGCTCGGCCAGGATGGTCTGTGCCTCCTCCAGCACCGCGTTCACCTGGTTCCACACTGCCGTCTCGGCCTCCGTCGGCTGCGCATCTGCAGGGCAGCGCCCCGGGGAGAGAAACCCGGAGGGCTCTGAGCGAGGCCCGGGGCGGTGAGAGCCAGAGTGGGGTGCCAGCACCCCGTCCCACGGCTCTCCCGCCAGTCCACAGCCCTTCCTGGCGGGATTCTCCCCCTGATCCGTCTCCTTGCCCAAGCTCAAGTCAAGCCGTGGAGTGGGGGGCAGGTAGGGGCGAGTCCTGGCTGCCCTGTGACCACAGTCCTGCTCATGGGGGTCCCTGAGGAGCCCTCGGCCCTGCTCACAGGGCTCCCCGAGCAGCCCTCAGCCCTGGGCTGGCCCCAACTGCCCCAGGGGAGAGGTGTGGAGTGACAGCCCCCGGCCATGGGTCTGCTCCCCCTCCCCGGGGAGACCCCTGGACAGCAAAGGTGGGGGCAGGACATCTGGGATGGGCTCAATGCGATGGGCGACGGGTACAAGAACTCAAAATGGCGTGGATGTGGAACTCAGGATAAATACGAAACAAAAAAGGAAAATAAAAATCCCATCTCACTTTCAAAGTCAAGGAAAAAATTAGGGCCTTGGTCAAGTTCGTTATAAGTCAACACTTTTAGAAGGTTCCCCATGTGAAACCTGCAAGAGAAGAAACAAGAGGAAAAAAGCATGATGGTGAGGTGGAGCTCGGGGAAGAGGTGCTGGGCTGTGGGCAGAGGCGGTGGCCAGAGCCCCCGTCCTCCCCCCACTGCTCCCCGGGGGCTCGGGGGGCTCCTGGACAGCCGGGGGGTGACCCCTCAGCTGCTCCCGGCCCCGAGTGCAGCCTCTTCCCCCCCGATGGTGATGAGCGCTGGCGGATGGGGTGATGGAGAGGAAGGAGCGGAGGGAGGAGGGAGCCGCCGGGAAGCGGTGAGCGAGTCCCTGAAGTCTTGGCTACAGGCGTTCCCCTCCTCTAGGGGCAGAGCCAGCCCCGGAAAGGGGCATCCCAGCGAGCCCCCAGAGCCCCATGCCCGTGGGCTGTGGAGGGGACTGGAGGCAGGTGAAGGTTGTGCTGCCTCAAAGGAACCTGGAGGAGCCAGGAAGGTCTCTTGCCGTGGGAGTGGGTGGCTGTGTGACCCCCAGCCCTGGGTATTTTGGAGGTACCTCTGCCTGAGGTGGTTGTGCACGGCCTCTCCCCACTGGGGATGGAACTGGGGCCAGGACTGGGGTGAGCGGTTGCACTATTTTTACGCTCCTCACTCTTGCTCTGAGCTGTGCCCTGGAGGAATTGCGGGAGAGGGAGCCAGGGGGGCCCTGGGGCTGTGCCCGGTCTGGCATCTTGTCATGGTGTCCACCATCTCCTGTGCACCCCTGTGCCCAGCCTGGGAGGTCTCAGAGCTGTGCTTTCCTGTCCCAATTAGCCCAGGTCGGTGGGAAGCAGGGGAAGGTCCCTGATCCCCATCACTTGGTTTAGGCTGTGACCCCTGCACCAACCTTTCCAGCGGTGCAGGTGGATCATTCCCTCCTCCTTACCCAGCCTCCAGGCTGTCCCTGAGGGTGGCAGGGGACATGCCACGTGGCCACCAGTGCCATCAATTACAGCAGCCTGAGGTCGTCCTGGGCCAGATCCTGCTGCTGGGATGTATCCTGTATCCTGCCACTCAGCCAGGATGTCTCCCCACACTTCGAGGGATGGGGCATCTCTAGGGGTCTCGCTCCCCTGCCCCATTCAACCCTTTGCAGGGCGAGTTTGGGGCTGCCCCAAGGCACTTGGGGACACGGGGCTGCTCGGGGACACGGTGCCTGTCCCCATCTTCCAGAGAGCAGCCACAGCAGTGGCCCCGGCCCCCTCCCCGCGCCCGCCCTGCTCATGGGACTTACTTTCAAAATCCAGGAAAAAATGAGGACAGTTTTCTAAATCTTTGCCCAATACCTTTATGAGGTTGCCCATGGCCAGCAGACCTGAGCGAGAGAAACAGAACAGAGTGGAACAGCACCGGCACCCCTGAGCCCCCACGGTGCCACTTCCACGGCACCTGCCTGTGCCCATCCCACCAGGATCCACACCCCGTGGCCCCCATCACTCTCCCTCCTGGCCGGGCACAGAGGTGTGAGCATCCACCAGAATGTGGCAGCTCGGCTCTCCCGTCACTTCTGCCAATTCCCAAGGAAAGTGGGATGCAGGTCTGGGAGTACTGTGCTCCCTGGGGCACCCCTGGCCATGCAGCCACCACCGAGGCACCCCGGTTCCCCCACCCCGGCACCCCGTGCTCTCCTGAGGGTTGGGGGGCTGCCCCAGGTGACCCCCATGGGGTCATGCCTTTGCTGATGGGGCTGGGCACTCCCCATGGACAGGGGAAGATCCCAGCTGGGAATTGTGCCCCATAGACTTGGTGTGGGGGTCTAGTGCCTGCGCTGGTGCATCCCACCCACCCCACAGCCGTGATCTTGGGTCTTTACCTCAGTGCCCGGAGTGGCAGCGGTGGCTACGGCAGGAGCAGGGGCTGTGCCACCCCCTGAGTCACTGCATGGGCTGGCGGGGACCTGCAGGTAGGAGGGAGAGAGGGTCAGGGCACCCCACTGCCCTGGGGACCCACTGGTGGGTGACCAGGTGGGGAGGCACAGTGGGACTCTCGATCCCACCACCCACCTCATGCTGCCACCAGCCTTATTGACCTCGGTTATTTTTTCATTGCCACTGGCAGCTCACCAGGCACTGAGCTGAGTATCCCTCTCCCTCTCCACTCCTTGGGGGACCTGCCAGCAGCCCGGGGACAACCCCAGGGCTGAGCCATCTGTCCCCATCTCTCCTTGGAGAGGCCAAGATCCCCAGGGATGACTTTCCCAGCTCCACCGGTTAGGTTTGCTCTTTTCTGTGTGTTGCATGAAAATCTCTTTATGCCACTGATGAGCCACAACCCAAATCCTGCAGGCATCGGGATGCTCCCCCTGTTCCCTGTCTCCCACCTTTCCTACAGGGATGTAGGGGAGTTGGGATTGGCCCCATGGTGTTAGCAGGCTCCAGGAAGCAGTCATGGGTTCAGCAGATTGTAATTAAGCATTTGGGTTTAATTAGTGAGGCAGGGGAAGGGGAGAAGGAGAGCTGGAGCAGCAGTGGAAAGGGATGGAATGGCCTCGTGCCTGGGATGGGGCTGCTGCCCCTCAGCCCAGTGCTCCCTGCTCACCCCCAGCGCAGCCCCTCAGCATCAACAGTGGCGGCTCTGCCTTCCTTCTCCTCCTCCTCCAGACCCAGTAAGTGGTGGCTTTACCTCGGAGCTGTATCAGACTGACACTAAAATTCAGCTGCTTTCTGGGGGAACCAGAGCACCCGTGTTCCCCACTGCACACCCCTGCCTCAGTTTCCCCAGGTGTAGCGGGCGCTCGTACCCCGCGATGGCACAAAGACACCCAGAGCTGCCCTGGCACAGTGACGCCGAGGTTCGTCCTGCTGGATGCTGGGGTGTTTTGGAGTGGTGCTGAGGGGTCCCTGGGGTGCTCGGGGGTCCCTGGGGTGCTGGGGCAGCTGGCGGGGTGGGAGATTGGCACCCGCTCTGCTCTGGCATTCGCACACATGCTGTGACTGTGACGGGCGTGCGGGCGTCCTCGTGGCCGTTGTCCTTGACTTGGGGCGATTTGGGGCTGGGATTTGACACTGCTGAACTCTGCCTCTGCCCAGGGAGGGGGCACGGACAGGTCCCTGTGCTCCCAGGTGTGAGGACACCCCGGTGTGAGGCCGGAGCCGTGGCACTGAGGTTCGGTGCTGGGTGGGAGTCTGGGGATTGCTGCAGCCCCTTCGAGCTGGGGGGGAGGATCCGCTGGGGGCTCAGCCCCTGATTTGCACTATTTCCTCGGTCCCAGGTGCCTACATCCTGTGGGTGCCCTTGGCCCTGGGAGCCCGGGATACCACAGCACATCCCCCCCGGGGGGGCTGTCGGGGAGGGCGAGGGGCTCCCTCCAGTGCAGGCTGCCCGTTGCTATGAGGCTGAACTGGGGGAACCGTGCACCCCAAATCCGCTGGGAACCGTGCACCCCAAATCCACTCCCAAACCGGGAGCGATCACAGAGGAATGTGCTGCTGGAGGAGGGCTGGGAGCAGCACGCTCCCTGTCCTCAGCCACACCCGAGGTGGCCCTGGGTTCTGTCCCTCCCTGCGGTGGCCTCATTGCACCCCAGCCCTGCTCCGGCAGCTGCTCCTCTCCCCGAGCGTCCTGCCCCATGGGGACCCCACGGCAGGTGTCACCTCCATGGGGACATCCCAGCCGATGGGGTGAACACCCGGCCCCCTGCTCCAGGCAGGGCCAAATCCTGCATCCTGGAGCATCCCTCCCCACAGCCGGCAGCACCCGGGCTGGCCACCCCGGAGGGGCAGCGATGCCCAGGGATCAGGTCCCTCCGTGTCACCGGGGGCCGTTTTTGGGCTGTGCCCCTTCGCCGCCGGCGCAGCATCGCTGTGGGCACCGCAGGCTGGTGCAGAGCCGCAGCCCCGGCCGGGGGCTGGCTGACCCTTCCCCTTGACCTGGTCTCGCAGCCTCCCCGCCCGCCGGGTGCCCACTGGGTGCCCCCCGGGTGCCCCGAGCCCCCGCCGAGCCCCTCCTGCCGCTGCCCCCCGCCCATGGCCCCGCCGGCATCGCCGCAGCCGCTGCGGGGTCGGACGCGCGGTGCCTGAAGGATTTTTCATGGCGGGGGGGGATACCTTATCCCGAGAATCCGGGTGTTGATCCTAAATCTTACCCCAGGATCAACCAGGACACCCCCGGCCCTGCCCAGGGTGGTGTTGGGGCTTCTCAGCGCCGCCACCCCCCCGGTTTGGGGACCTCCCTGAGTGGAGGGTGGTGTGATCCCCCCGGGGGGCTGAGCCCCCGGAGTGGGGCTGGCGGGGTGCGGGGGGCTCCCCTCTGCCCGGCTGCGGCTGCGGATGAGCGGCAGGATTTACCGCAGGGCTGCCGGGAGCCGATCCGCAGCACCCAGCCGGCGCGGGCGAGCACCCACCCGTGCTCCCGCACCCACCCGGGGCCACCGCGGGGCTTCAGAATCCCCGGGGTGGGGAGAACCCGCCCCATCTCCATCCCATCACCCACCCCATCACCCCCAGTCCTGCGGCGCACCGGGCCAGGGGTGCAAAGGGAAAGAGGGGTCCCTCGCGGGGGCTGCCGGCGGTTTGGGTCCCTGAAGGGGGGACAGCCAGTCCCTCGCCCTGCTCTCAGGCCTGGTGGCAGCCCCGTCCCCGTCCCCCGTGGCGGCCCGTGCTCACCGTGGCGGTGGGAGCTCGAGGCGCGGGCGGGCGGTGGCGGCGGCCGGGGCGTCTGCGGATGCTGCCGGATCGCGGGGTGCCGGGGACGAGCCGCCCGCCGTGTGCGTGAGCCGCCCTGCGCCAGCTGCCGAATGCACCACAAAGACCACCATAGCCCCCCGGCCCCCCCTCCACGCCACTGGTGACGGTGACGTCTCAAGTGTGAGGGAGACGGGGATGTTTAACCCTCTGCGTGCCGGCCGGGGAACCTCTGCGGCCTGACTGGGGAGGGGCTCCGGCTCCTGCTGGGGGGATGGGAGGGGCTGCTCCCTGGTTTTGGGGGACACGGTGACGCCGAGAGGGTGCCTGTGTGTCCCCCCACATCAGAGCCAGCCTGGCTCAGCCCCAGCACCCGCAGCCCACTCTGAGCAGGGGGAGGGAAGTCCCAGATGTTCCTCTGCTCCTGACCCAGCCCATGGATGGCACTGCTTGCCCCCAGTCCCCTCTCCAGGGAGGGGGACAACCACTGACCCCACCTGGTGCCACTACCACGGGGACAAACCAAACCCATGCCCCAGGACCCCCCTTTTGAGCAGGCAGCACCCTCTGTCTCCCCCTGTCTCTCCTGAACTGGGGCCAGGAGTGGTTTGGGTGGCATGAACTGGCACAGAGCTGTTCCCACAGGGCTGATGTGGGAGGTAGGAAGCAAGTGGGGACCCCCAAAATTGGGCTGGTTCTGCTTTTCCACCCTGCACTCGCCTTTCCCTGGGCCAGCACTGAGCATTACAGTGGGGACATCAAAAAGCATTCCCAGTGTCGTGGCCACCCCAGGTCCAGCTTGTCCAGTGGCACACAGGGGTGTCCCCCAGGAACACGGGGTGGGTGACAGCAGCTCATTGCTCCTTTACTTGGGCATTTCTGTGCAGCAAAGCAGGGATGGGCGCCCACCCTCCAGCACCCCAAGGCACCTGGAACCAAAGCTCAGCCCTGGGGTGCAGTGGGTGGGGAAGGGACCTGAGCTGGGGATGGTGAGGGACCAGAGAAAGGCTGAGGCTGCTGGTGAGGAAACCTGGCTCGAAGGGAAGGAGCAGCAGAAGAAATAAGTGAGAAACCCTGATTTTGGCCCTGGCTGTGTGGCTGCTGCCCAGTGTCACTGGAAAACGGGGGGTTTTGTGAGGTTGCACTGGCTGTGACCATCGTGCACTGGCCTCGAGGGACAGTGTCCATCCCTGTCCCCATCCCTGTCCCCATCCCTGCCCAGCTCAGAGTGACGGGTCCTGCCCAGCGCCGTGTGCTGCTGACACTGACAGGAGCAGAGCACTGGGAGGTCACAGATGGGCTGGCTGAGCCACCAGTGCCCCGAGCACTGCTGGTGCCACAGCCGGCTGACCTGGCAGTGCAGCGGGAAGAGGGCTGTTGGAATTCTGGGATACGCAGCTCCCAGCGGTCTGGGGGGGCTGATCCGGCTGCAGCAGCCCCAGGCAGCTGCCCCACAGCCCCCCCCATCGGGCACAGCCCCCCGGGCCGTGCTGGTGCAGCCCGTAGCCGCTGGGGGAAGCTGCAGCCCTTTGCATTCCACGGAGTGGCTGGATAAGGAGGTTTTTAGGAACGGGCAGGGCCCTGGCAGCTCTGCACCCCGGGGAACTTAAGGCAGGGAGCTGGGGGGTGCTGCTACGGGAGCGGAGAGCAAAGGGCTGTCACAGAGCCAGAGCTGCCTGCAGAGCCAGTGTCCCCCCCAAACACCCTGTTGTCTGCTCTGCAATCCCAGGGTCAACATTCCAGTTAGGGTTTGGGTCACCCCAGTTAGGGTTTGGGGGTCACCCCAGTTAGGGTTTGGGGCTCACCTGGGTGCTGTGACCGGGGTCACCAGTGTGTCCAGCCCACCACGTGCCCAGGCAGTTCCCCAGTACCACGACTCACGGTGTCACAGCCCCAAAAATTGGGGCACTCCAGTACCCCACAGTCACCCTTACCCCCATCCCCAGGGCATCCCTGTCACCTGGTGGCAGGCTCCCCTGCCTCTTGCAGCCGTCCCATGTCCCCTTGGCAGCCCTGTCCCACGAGCTGAGCTGGGCCAGTCTCAGCCCTGGCAGCCGTGCTGCTTCAATTAAGCCCTCATTAATTTTTCAGTCCCCCTGCGCACCCCGAGCACGGGAGGTTTGCAGAGCTGCTCTAATTGATGTCTCCTCGACTTCAGCATCTAAGAACTGGCAGTGGGTCTGGGGGGCTCATCCCCCAAGCTCTTGGGGAGGCTCACAGAGAGGCTTTGGGGCCACCCAGAGCCATGTGCCCAGAGCCCAGCAGAGTCTGTGGGGGTGACACAAAACCCATGAGGTTGAATCACCCCCTTCCAGGTGGGGTCCAACCCTGGGCACAGGCACGGTGCAGGGATGTCCCGTCCAGCCATGGGGGTCCAGCCCTTCTGCCCCCAGAGTGGGGGGGTGATGGAGTCCTGCAGCCCCACTGCTCATACACAGCTGAAAATATTTGTTTTTTTTGTAACCCGGCCCTGTCTCGCCTCCAGCTGAGACAGTTTCTGCTGCTTCATGCAGCCACCTCTGCAGCAAAGGTGGGTGCACCTGAGAGCACATGCCATGGAGAAGGGCTGAGCACCCCATGGCACCCCACAGCCCTTTGGGGACGGGATGGGGACCAGTCCTGGCTGGCTGGAGACTTCATCCGGGCTCAGTGGGCACCAGCTGCAGAGGGACAGCTGTGGACAGGCCTAGGTGGCAGTGGGATCACAGCAGGATGCCAAGGTCACCGAGAGAAGCACTCAGCTATCTCCATGGAAACATTCCGAGTTTGGTTCTGAAGATCAGAGTGGTTTTCTTGTCCCTTTCCCCTCTGTGCTTCAACTGTGGCTCTGGCCAACCAGGAAGCCACTCGTGTGTCCCCAGTGCAGGCAGCATGGGGCCGTGTGCTGGGTGCCAGCATCCCCTGGCATCCCCCCGCCAGCATCCACCCACATCCCACTGCCAGCATCCTCCCTACATCCCAGTCCCAGCATCCCCTCAGCATCCCACTGCCGGCATCCCTCCTGCATCCTGCTCCCAGCATCCCAGTACCATTTCCCCTCCCAGCATCCCGGTACCCCCCCAGTATCCCACCTCGACCCCCCCACCCCGCGGCCCCTCCCGGTTGATTGACAGCGCTCCCAGCCAATGCACGAACGCTGCCGCCGGGAGGGGGGGCGGGCGGCCTGAGGCTACAAGAGGGGCGGGAGCGGCGGGGGCTGAGCCGGCGGCTGGACCGCGGCCCCTCCGGTACCGGCTCCGGCACCGGCTCCGCGCCCCGCCCGGCCCCGCCGAGCCGCCACCTGCCCGCGCCGCACGACAGGTAAGGGCCGTCGGGGCCAGAGCCGGGGCTGGGAGGAGATTCCCCGGTGCGGAGCTGCCGTCGGGGCAGGTGCCGGGAGCTGCGCTGCTCCCGGGAGCCGGTTCCAGCGGCTGTCGGGGCTGGTGCCCCGGAGCCGCCTCCTCTCCGGGTGGGCAGAGCACCCCCACATCCCCATCCATCCCCCGGGGCTGAGAGCTGAGCCTCTTCCCTACTCCTTAGGGTGCCAGTCCAGGGGTGCTGCTCTGTGCTGCCCAGGGTGCAGCCCTTGATGGGGACACCTGTAGTAATCCCCCTCTGTCCTGTTTTGGGACCAGCAGCCACTGGTCAGTGATGATGTTGGTGCTTTGGGGTGAGTGGTTTGTGCCAAGCATGTGGTGGCCCTTCTGGCTGCTGTCCCCTGCCCTGGCGTGACTGGGCACAGCTTGGAAAAGGGAATGGGGGACTGTGAACCAAAGGATGTTGCTCTTGAGTCCTGGCCAATTTGAGGGCTTCGCTTGCAGGATAAGATGTGGTGAGACGCTGCCTCCTCCTGCCAGTGTGACTGGTGGGAGATGTGGGAGGCCATGGGTACAGATCAGGGAGGAGATGGCCGGGGTACAGAATTGGTCCCAGCAGCTTAGAACTGGACTGTGATGCTGGGAGGGCTCGTGCAGCCCCCCAGCCAAGCTGGGATCACTGGGGAAGTGTTGTGCTCAGTGGGAGTCTGGACATTCCCTCAGCTCCGGCTGCCGAGGGGTGCTGGGTTGAGTGTTGCTGTGGCAGACAGTGACAGATGCTGGTGGGATGATGGGGCAGGAAGAAGGCACTGCCTGTGAGATTAGCTGGCAATGGGGCTGGCTGGGAGCACAAGGAGCCCCTCATCACTGCAGGGGGAGGCTTGTGCCCATCCCAGGGTAACCCCACATCCCCCCAAGCCTGCATGGCCGGGACATCAGACTCTCGGAAGGAAGACGGTGCTTGGTTGGGCTCCAGGTGAACTTCTACTCAACTTTCTCCATGGAGAGAGAAGCTCCAGGAGCTCTCAGCAAACCATCTGCTGCTCAGGATGAGCGGTGCTGGCAGCCAAGGCTGCGTGGGAGCAGGCACGGCGTGTATCAGAGCAGATCCACGTCCTGCCCACGCAGCCATGGGCTCCCAGTGCTCCGTGCTGCTGAGTGGAGGCCTGGCCAGACCCCACCCTCACCAAGGGCTGGCCAGGAGCAGGTTGAGTGTCACTGTGACCAGCTGGATGCTGCGAGTTCCATGGTACCAGTGAGGATTTTATGTGCTTTAGCAGCAGACTCTTCACTGTCCCATCCTTGGAGAGGGTCAAGTGAAGTGGAGCTAGGTGATCTTTGAGGTCCCTTCAAACCCAAACCATTCTAGGATTCTATGATCGCAGTCATAGGTAAAGGCCACGGGAAGAATTCTGGATCTTCTGTTGCTTTCTGAGTGGTTTTCTGCAGGCAAAAGGCGGCTGAGGAGATGGGGGGCTGCAGGTGATGCTGCTGGGTGCACTGGGGGGCTGCCCCAGGGCCAGCTCCTGCACGTCTCCAGCAGCAAAGGCCACAGCCAAGCATGCTCCCAGTGCCACAGTCACTGTCCTGCATGAACACCCATCATCCAGGTGGATCAGCTCTAGCATGGGGAAGAGGGATGTGGGATTAGCCAGCTGCCAGGGTGGAGGAGGGCCTGGGAGGACCATCCCTCTCCATGCCTGGTGTGTAGGAGCTGTGTGTTTTCCCTCCCAGGGGCAGCCATGGGCAAGCACAGCAGCAAGCTGGCCCCGGAGATGCTGGATGACCTGGTGAGGAGCACGGAGTTCAGCGAGCAGGAGCTGAAGCAGTGGTACAAGGGCTTCCTCAAGGACTGTCCCACCGGCATCCTCAACCTGGAGGAGTTCCAGCAGCTCTACATCAAGGTGGGGGCTCCAGCCAGGGGTCCAAGTGCTGCCTGTGGGGCTGGAGCACTCTGCTCCTGCTGGGCAAGGGTGCTGCTTCAGGTGCAGCCTCTGTGCTGAGCTCCCCCTCCTCATTTCAATCTCTCTTCTCTCCTTCCCGCAGTTTTTCCCCTACGGAGACGCCTCCAAGTTTGCCCAGCATGCTTTCCGCACCTTCGACAAGAACGGGGATGGGACCATCGACTTCAGGGAGTTCATCTGTGCCCTGTCTGTCACCTCCAGGGGCACCTTCGAGCAGAAGCTCAACTGGGCCTTTGAGATGTATGACCTGGATGGGGACGGGAAGATCACACGCTTAGAGATGCTGGAGATCATTGAGGTACCAGTGCTTAAAATCCACAGGGGTAGCTTGTTTTTTCCAGGCTTTTCGCAGCTCTTGGGTCCCTTTTCACACCAAAGAATGAGTTTTCCTACCCAGAGCCTTGTCCAAAAGGTAGCCAGTGTGCACCAGACGGTAACTGTGCAGCTGCAGAAAACTCAGTCCCAACAGAGCAGAAATCCTGTGCCCCCGGCCTTGTCCTGGGACATTCTGCCCACCCAGCATTCCCACTCTGGTACTTTGCTTCTCTTCTTTCTCCAGGCCATTTACAGGATGGTGGGGACTGTGATCATGATGAGGATGAACCAAGATGGGCTGACACCCCAGCAGCGTGTGGACAAGATCTTCACAAAGATGGACAAGGACAAGGACGACCAGATCTCCCTGGAGGAGTTCAAGGAGGCTGCAAAGAGTGACCCTTCCATCGTCCTCCTCCTGCAGTGTGACATGCAGAAATAGAGCCCTGGGGCTCAGTACTGGACTGGCTGCAGCCAACCTCTGCTCCCTGTGCTGGTTTCAATGCCCATTTTTTGCTGAGCCCCTCTGTGCCCGCTTGGTCCCAGGCATCAGCCACGCTCCACCCCTCCTGCTGCCCATCCACCTCTGCTCCAGCTGTATCTTGGACAGCTCACATTCCATACCCTCGAAGGGTAGAGCCTGCTCTGGGTATTGTCAGCGTGAGGTTACCCCAAATCCATCTTATCCCATCCTGGAGCTGGATTCCCTGCAAGCCAGTGACAAGTTTCCTGGCTCCCCAGGGCTAACTGTTCCCACATCCCTGCTGCTTTAGAATCACATCCAACCTAAACCTGGTTGTAGCCAGGTGGGGGTTGGTCTCTTCTCCCAGGCAACTATCAGTAAGACAAGAGGGCATGGTCTTAAGCTCTGC